CAAGATTTCCAACACCGCTGTCATTCAGAAATCTTTCAACCGAGTTATCTGAACTTTGGAGTCTTTAGTCACAACTGGTTTTTAGCCGATCATGTTTTTGCTACCTCACGCTCCTATTTCTACAGCGAGGTGAAAGGCTCGCAGAGCTTACCAGCATCAGAAAGCTGGTTAAACAATGCAGCGTCACGTAAAAGGGAAGAAGGAAGCAGATTTTTCTTCCTGCTATTTAGTTTAAAACTGCTCATGGCTCCTGAAAGCCCAGACTTCTGTGCCAGTTGCTTGTGCAGGTATTAACCTCAAGTGTCACAGCAAAGTTGAAAACATTAAAAAAAATCTGTTCACCTTTTGATCTACTTTGTAATTAGCTTACTCCTTTTCCAAACCCCTTTCCCTGATCTCCAAATTACAGGGAAGTTACTACTGCACGGTTAGACCCACAGACGAGAGAGACAGGCGCTAGGTCCCTGTACAAACAGCGGGTTGTTCACCCAAGGGTCACAGGCATTTGGAGCAGCATCCGCTGGAGTTCTGACTGGCTTCAGACAGGCCATGCTGGGACGGGGAGAAGAGCTGAGCAGTACCCGAAGCACGGCTTCACCCTGTGGAAGACCCAGGCCCGGGCACGGCACGTGCAGCCAGGCAGCAGAGGCCATAGCTCGCACAGCGCTGTGCGCCCAAGGCTTCGGCAGCGAGCGCTCCGACAGCCGCCATCAGGCCCACGCTCCTGAGGCCCAACTTTAACGTAGCTGAACCTTTCCCCTGAGCTGCAGCATCAGGCTCCCACTCCACAGGCCGAACAGGAGACTTGGTTGAGTGGACACGCGTGGCACCCTTCTGCCTTAAGGAAAACAATATGGGTCACTTTCCTGTGCCTTTTACAACCTCGCTGACACATCTTGTGCTGTAACGGGATGCGCTGCCTTACCCAGGAAAAGGCAGCACGATGGCATCCCAAATCCCAGGGCTGATACTCAGGCCACTTGCTGCACAGCCCTCTGGCATCCTAACAGCACGGTAAGAAAAGCAACACTTGTGCCTTTGGGCGCCCAACTTGTGCAGCAGACGCCCAGTCCCAAACAACGCCCCCGCCCAAGCCAGCACCCGCCCAAGCCAGCACACTGGCCCGGGAGGCAGCTCGAACAGGTGGAAATTTTAAACCCACTGCAGCCCAAGAGAATGAAAGGTAAGTCTTGTTCCTGCCCTAAATTTTCAGTTCAGTCTGTGAACACTCCACTTGCTAAAGAGAAGATGTAACTGGCTAAAAGAAAAACGGGCTAAGAACTTTTTCTCCAAGGATACTGAGTCCCTTTCTTTACGCCATGGGACCAAAACTCTCCTCCCTACCTCTAAGCCACCTGTGCTACAAGACCTAACTCTTGCCTTAGCCAGCTGCTGCCTGTTTGGGCTGGGATGGAGTTAATTTTTTTCACAGCAGCTGGTATGGGGCTGCATTTTGGGTCTGTGCTGAAAACAGTGCTGATGGAACCGGGACGTTTTCGTTACTGCTGAGCAGTGCTCACACACAGTCAAGGCCTTTTCAGCTTCTCTCACCACACCCCACCAGCGAGTAGGCTGGGGGTGCACAAGGAATTGGGAGGGGGTACAGCTGGTACAGCTGACCCCAGCTGACCAAGGGATATTCCATACAGTATGACATCATGCTCAGCATATAAATCTGGGGGAAGAAGGGACTCTGTCTCAAGTAACTATTATGTGTGATGGAGCCCTGCTTTCCTGGGAATAGCTGAACAGCTGCCTGCCCAGGGGAAGTGGTGAATGAATTCCTTGGTTTCCTTTCCTTGTGTGTGTGTCTTTTGCTTTACCTATGAAACTGCCTTTATCTCAACCCATGAGTTTTCTCACTTTCACCGTTCTGGTTCTCTCCCCCATCCCATGGAGGTGGGGAGCAAGGAAGCAGCTGCGTGGTGCTTAGCTGCCAGCTGGGCTTAAACCACACAGCCAGCCCACCAAACCCTACTTAAGCAGACATTTACAACCGTGTAAGATAGGAATTGTTTCAGATCTGAAGTTATTTCAAACTGCAGCTATGCAGGCAAAAGTCCCTACAGGCTTCTTTCCTCTTCAGAGGAGCATAACAGATTTGCCCCTGCCTGGCTTTATTGATTCGCAAGAAGATGCACAGAAAAATCTAAACATGTTTACACAATATATCCTTTAGGCAACAATTCCTGCCCTTACCCCCTCCTGTGATGAGCACGTTGATAACATTGTGCTGAGCAATATCTGTTACAGGTAAGCCAACGGCAGCAGCAGAGAAAAATATTGCTAATAAGAAAACCTACCAAGTATTAAGCTTTATTTCTCTGTGAAAATGAATATTTCACATATTCACAATTCCCTCCTTCAGTTGTGGAAAAAAAGGACTTTTTTTGTTCAAATCTGATGCAAATCTTCCCCTTTCAGAAAGTTCAGAGTTGACACTGTCACACAAAACCTGACACTTCAAGGTTACGAACAAACCGAGTTTAATCTAAACCTAGTTCACAGTCACGCCAGAGGAAGAACAGTTTCAGTGTTTCCAAGTAAAGGAATGCAGCAGAAGCTGTGTCCGTGTCAGCAAGTAGCTCAGTGCGACGGGTGAATCCGCAGAGAGGAACTCCTGACCGCCAGCCTCCACACCCACCGTGCAGACAGTCTGGAAATCCAAAGGGCGGATTTGGTCTGACCCTCCAGCTATCCCACCCGCAGCACCCAGGTGGTTTCCAGCAGCCTGAAGGAAACCACCGCGATGGGCACACGTCACCGCTGGGAGCTAGAGGGGATGTGGAGCAAACCCAGAGCACAGCTCCCGGTTTAGATTTCTCCCAAAGGGAGTGAACTCAAGAGCACAAAATGGCTTTGTCAGGCAAACCAGGATGTGGCAAAGTGGGGATGAGAGGGATTTACTGCCACGCTACATAAACTGCACCACTGCCATAGGTGTGGCTAGAGTCATGCCCTAAAGAGAACGCATCTATCAGGATGCTCAGTCTCCTACGATGCTCTGGGCTGAACAACTGTTTACTAATGAACTGAGCCAGCCTGAAGAGCCTAAGCAGCAGCAGCACCGTAACCAAAATCCCAGTGCCTAAAGTTTCATTCTACCTGTGGTCTGAACGACGACATACAAAAACGAGGGGAACTTGGACGCAGGACTGTCACTCCTGTTGCAGAGGCTCAGAACGGACCATCGCTTACTTGCATAAGCTAAGAACTCCTTTGCCTCGAGGGGCACTAAGATGCACAAGAGGCAGTACACTTCATTTTACAAGCCATGTCCAGTATGTCAGCATTCACAACACAAAGCTTGTTTCTGTATTTATAAACAGAATACAAACAAATAGTAATTCACATTAAGACAATTGCCACAGCAAAATTTCTCAGAGAAAGGGCTTTACCTCCACAAAATACCCTAAAGCCTATCAAAGCAAGCTCTTCAAGTTCTCCAGTTCAAAAGGGGTAAGGGTAGGCACAAAAAAAACTGCAAGCCACATCCAAAACTTGGAGAGAAATCAAGAACCCCAAATGTGCTGTGTGCCTCAGCTGACGGTCAGGTCAGCTTCACGCAGGGAGTCACCACCCCCAAATCTGACACGGCATGCCATTTTTAAAAAGTAACAGAATAGCTGATTTACTTATAAATTGCTTTATTGAAGCTATAACTTCATAGATTTGATGTTCAAGGTGTAAAATTATCTCAGAGACTAAAAATTAACATGACAGGGAAAAACCGTAAGTAATATAAATCTACTTATCTCGCCCCACTGGTAGAAGTGAACCTGTAGGATGCTACTCTTTGAAGGTAATAATTAAGACTGTCACAGGACTGAATAAACAGAGAGGGAAACACAGTAACAGAGTACTTCACAGCAAAATACCTCTTTATTAGGAATATATTTAAAACTAGCTTTTTATTTCAGGTAAGAAAAATAGCAATCTGACTTTTAGCCAGCGCCGATTCCCATGATACACAATATTCTAACAGCTAGAAAAGTTATTTGCACCGTTGTTGCCCATTAACAGTTCTCCTACCCGCCCATTCACTGCCTTTTACGCTGCGCTTGTTCTTAAATATGCTTAAGAAATGCTTCAAAAAAGGTTTTTATTTAGGTCTTGGCGAAGACTGACTTGACAGCGACTCAACATCTGTACCACCTCACGTACAGCTTTAAAAGCCTTCTTTTAGAGAACAACATGGTTCAGTAGCTGATCAGCGAAGACAATTAAGAGGGCAACTCTCCAGGACCACCGTGGCAGAACAAATCCCACTCTTCTACTACACAGTTTAGCACTGTAAAGTAGCAGCAGTTTCAAGAACTTCAGTTAATTCTGTACCCCTTTGCAAGAGAGCACTGAAGAACAGAACACAGGGGTATTGCTACAAGTCAAACAGTAAACCACTGTGTGTACAATCTGAGTACAAGTTTAGACTCTTCGTTATGCTGCAACTTAGCAGTCGAAGATAATTAATTGAATCATGCTGTAAACAAAGACATAAACCATCCATGTAAGCTTTACTGGTTTACCAGCGTGAAGAAATACCTGCCTTCTAAAAGCAAACCAAAAACAACCCGCTGAGTTCTCCCCCATGAGCATATAATTAGGTAATGTATTTTAAGACGGGTTTTCATCCAATTAAAAATTAAATCTATGTGTTTCACCGAAGGGTTATACAGCATCTGTAACGTCTGTGGTTTTAGATACCTGATGGCCACTTTCAATATATCACAGGGAAAGTATTTTCCAGACAAACATGTTATTTCTGGTCTTATTTCTTTCATCCTCTGTAGCCAATACGAAGCTCTATGACACCTATTTTAAGTAGACTTCCACATGTAGATGTTTCTTAAATGCAGCTGGAAACAATGGATGATGCTATAGCAACAATCTCCAAGAGAACAGCCAATAGGCCACAAGTTTGTGGCTGGTTTAAATGGTATTTTAAAAATATATAGAAACACCAAAAATAGGCTATACCAGGAAGCAATCTGATACTCAAATAAATAGAAAATTTGCATTTTAATGTCACATTGAATTTTAGTACATTTCAATCCAAGAAAAAAAAAAAACAAAACTGACAGACATAGTAATGAGTACAGGATTATATATATTACAATATGCCTTGTTATAATACATTTGTGGCTTTATGATAAAAAAACCTCAAGGGCAGATGGGGTTTGAGCTCATTTCAGTAACTGTCAAGAACAAAGCATTAAATGCATTTCTGAAATAAGTACTTTCACTTCATTTCAAAATCTTAAAACAGCGTTAGACCTGGGTCTTTTTTTTTTTTTTTTAAAAAAATGTAGCTACCAGGGAGCTAAATAAGTATGCTGAGAGGCCTAAAGGATACAGAAAATGCTTTTCCCAATTTTACATACAGTGAAAGGGCAGATGGTTTCAAAACCAGCACCTATGGCTCACTCCATGTTGACCTTGACCGAGAAATGCACATCACTGATCTTGACAAGGAATCCAGCAAACTGTGGAAGTTGTCCATTTCACAGGAAAGCAAGAGAAAGGGTTATCATATGCAAAAATATTTCTCCAACTGTTCTTAACGTGTAATTGAAAACTAAAGGCATGGTCTCTTCATTATAAAAAAATAAAGGTACAACAGAAACTCTAAAGGAAGATACTCAGCTATACTGAAGTTGCAACCTTCTGAAAAGAAAGAAAAAGGACAAAAGTCAATTAGCTAAGCTTTGTGCTCTAACCAAACTACTTACAGTGATTTTCAATGGCAAAAAGCCCATGCTGACTGGGTGATCTGACAGTTCCAAATACTTTTTGTAATAATTTTATTTGTATACAAGGACACTAAAACGATCCAGTCATGCAACGTTCACTCTAAGCATTCTGCATCTCTTTTCCAATCTTATAGCTAAGGATCTTGTTCCAGTCAATCTTCGTGCGGGTAACTGGCAACTGTCGACGTAAGGCCTTGAACGTAGTGTCCGACATAGTCTGATAATTCTCACTGATAGCAGTCTGTTAGAGTCACACAAAACAGAGACACACGAACAGAACGAAGATGTTATCTACAAAGTCAAACAACTGTGTAGTCTCTTACCTCTTAAACAGGCCTAAGAAAAACATGCTAAATTAAAATACATTTGCAAAGCAAAGGCGTTAGATTTAGACTGAAGCTGTGAGAAGAGGGTTAGCACGTCGGCTGCAGTAAACCTGGCTGTAGCCTAGGTCTTTCAGCAAACCACCGCGTGGTTAATCAGCAGCAGGAACAAAGTGCTGATCAGAGCCAGCTCATACAGCATTAATTTCAGACACCACAGTCTTCCACTGCATTTCCTGTGGGGATGGTGGAGTCAGTCCACAATATTATATGAATGTGGATATAATGCACATGGTAAATGCTCTTTAATAAAAACTTAAGTATGTTTTTTTGAAACTGACAGAACACGGTGTCTGAAATTTACCTTATGTTCAAGACCTACGTGAACACGAATCCACTTCTACAGAGGGTATCTACAACAGTTACACTTCTCTAACTTTAAGATGACTACATGAAACGGGTAATATTTACAGGCAAAGCTATCTTAACAGAGTAGCCTCTGAGCAGAATCCGTACAAAACTTCCACTGAAGGAATGCCCTAATGCTAAAAGAGATCCGGATTGCTGACACGTGATCACACCAGGGACTTTTCTGACTTCTAATGTAACGTGAGTGCCATCACCAGAAGGTATGGAAAGGGAAAATACAGTGGATAGCAGCATGTAATCTATTTATATTTATGGGACTGCATTATCTTAGTATCTTAATATCAAAAGCTTGCTAATTATAGAATCCTAGCGTTGGTTAGGAAGATGGTAATGCTATATATGTAAGGATATGGTGTTTGTTTCCAACATACCTGATACTCATTTTCTGCAGCCTCTACGATTTTTATAAATTCCTTTGCTGTCTGAGCTTCGTTCTAGAGAAAGAGCATTTGAATTAGGTCTGATGTACAGCACGAGCCTAAGACTAGCTGGATTATATTTTTTCCTAGAGTTATGAGAGTGGTCATGCAGACCCCGTGAGAACACATGGCTGTTTAGCAGCTAAACCAAAACTGAACAAAACATTCCTCCAAAAGGCACATGCCTCATTAGTATTATATTTTAAAAAAATCAACCCAGCCCAACTGCAACAAGCATAATGATTACCACAGAGCTCAATAAAACATTTTGATTTAAAATTCTAGTGTATGACAAAAGACACATGGAACAGAACAGCATTTGGAAATACGACAATGCACTCACACAAGTCTAAAAACATGCAGAGTATGGATATTAACATTATCAGTATTAAGTTTCCAGTACAAATTCAGGAAAACTTAAAATGACATCAGTTAACCCAGAAATATGCAGAACACAACAACAAAAAAAAAAAAAACAAAAAAACCACACCAAACCAAAGTTGTTCACCACTAAACATTCTGCATCTGGGGACTAAGCTGAGGCAAACACTAGCCTTTATATACCTGATTTTCTAAAAAATATCCCCAAGTAGATCTTGCAAAAATGAGGGTGCAACATTCCACAACGTCCAAGTTTCATCATGACTGATAAGCAGTTTCTTGGCTTTGGGCCTCATCTTTAAGTGTGCAAGTATGTGTTTGTTTCAACAATAAAAACTGACCCCTCAGTCAGTCTGGAGACTAATTATCTGAAGTGCTTGAAAGAAGTCTCAAGCAGGAAGTGAATGAAATTCAAAACTTCCAGCTTGGTGCTGGAGGCATTCCTAAGGGTATTCCGCAGAAGCTGTTGGAAGACAGGAGTATTGTTGCCCCATGCGATCCCTTGTTGCTACGAAGGCAAAGACTGGGAGAAAGCTATGGCAGCTCCAACTACAGCTGGCTCGAGGTTCCAGTGAAACTGCTCCTGGCAGCTTGGGACACTGCAGAAAGCGATAAAGGAGGAGGGCAGAGACCAAGTAGAACAAACGAACGGGTTTTGACTTTGCAGTGAACCAAGGCAGTGATTTGAAAGGCTCTGCTAATGAAAGGCAGAATTCTGGGGTATGAGGTCTGCTATGGCTCAGAGAGAAATCAGGGATAAGAACGCAGCCTTCAGCAAATTACAGCTCTAGCAACAAGAGAACTCTTCAGCCATTTATTTCATTGCCCATTGATAGTACAAAATTGTTTCTCTGCCAAACAACTAAATAGGGGAGTCGTTGAGGCTCCTGTTAATCTGCCTACCATTCCTTTGGTGAAGTAAGAACCTGCACAGCCTCTGTTAAGCACAAAACCAGGGCTAAAAATAGTTAACCTGCAACATACTTGCTTTTGTTCTAGCAGGATGCAGGCAAGTTATGTAAAAGATGCTTTTCTACTCATCAGTCTTCTGCTGCTTTACTAAACTGTGGAACAGGATTAGGTTTCTTCCCAATAGAAAGTGGGGCAAAACTTCTGAAAGGAGAACTTCTTCCACATAATCTTCCCTGAAGCAACTCTTGGTCGAATGAAAGGCTACACAGATCCCTTTGCTTAGGGGGTCAAAAGTAATTTTGTATCTGCAGCTTTAGAAGCGTTATCAGTTGGCACCACGCTCCCCCGGTCTCTGTGGTGCTACTGCAACTGAAAAGCCAACAAGCCTTGCTTTATGTTGACAAACAATGTTCTTCACTGATGAAGTGAGCTTTTGAGCCAAGCTGGTCACTACTAGTCATCATCATGAGAATACTTCTGCTGTTCACTTGCACCATTTCCCTCTGCCAGTTTAAGTTTCATTAAAGAACACTCCAACACACTGTTTATAAGCACAGTCTCCAGTAAGCAAGAAGAGAATTATTTCAAACGTAGTAATTCTTCACATTGCAACATTACCAACTCTTAAAGGATACATCTGCTACTGTTTCCAATTTTACTGTCTGCTCATCATTATGATAATAATCCACTTGGAAAAAAGTTGAATTAGATTATGCTTTAAATACAAAGTATGTTTCTCAAGCCAAAGCATCTCCGAAAGGGCTCTTTGCACAGAAAAAGCAAGAGGCTGACACACCGGATTCAGACAGGGAGGAAATGGAGGCAGAACACCCACTACTGCTTCTCGACTGGCAGCATTTGTTTACTATTTTTAGCGTACTGGTCTTCTCCCAGTGAGCAGAGGAGACCATCTCAAGAGACCGTACTATTTAAAGTGGGTTATGGTAACTAAAACCTCCTTCATATTCAGAAGTTAATTCTATAGGTCACTGCAGACCAAAGTTTAAACTGGACAGAGCAGCAGAATGACCGGCAGCAAGCCAATTAAAGAGGTACAATTAAAGCTAATTTAGCTTATATAAGAAGCCTCCAAACTTAGGAGTTTTTTAATAATTTTACTTCTCTTTCTAAATTAAAAAGTCATTTCAGCATACACGCTAAGGCCCTTAAAGTTCACTTACAGACACCGTTAGGGAGTCTTGTATGTCTTTATGGCTCACCAGCTGAACATTACCATCTTCATAATAGTGAACCTACAAAAAAGTAAACAACCTGATGTTAAATGTTCCAGACCAACAACATAAAGGAAAATCAAAATATTGTAGTATTTAGGATAATACCAACAAAACCACACATAAAATGTTACAGAACAACAAAAACAAATAGGAGACCCAAAATGTTGTAGAATTTAAATATTTTTGAGGGGAACTAGTGAAGCAGCTACTCTGGAGACCTTTTTGTGTTGATGTGCCTTAAGCAGAATTTCATGCAAAGGGAGTTTAGAATCATAGAGCAATTTATGCTGGAAAAGACTGCTAAGACCATCGAGTCCAAGCGTTAACCTGGCAATGCTGAGTCCACCACTAATCCAAGGTTTTAGTTAACACAATGAAGATGACATTCTATCTACATGACCTTACTAGAAACTCTTGAAACGGGGAAGACCTATTTAAAATGATAATAGTTTTGGCATGACTTCAGGATACTGGGAAGTTGGTTTTTTGCTTCACCCCAACTGTCTTCTAGGGACAGTACAACATTAAGCTTCTGTTTCTAGACCTGCCTGGTTTTGATATTTTCCTCTATTAGATACACTTCACAACAAAAACTGGTATTTATCGAAACAGAGTAGCTCTTTGGGACAGTTTCCCAAGGTTAGATAGCAAAGCAGAACAAAATCTATTTACTTGAAGTGCTATATCTACAGAACAGCTTCCTTGATTATTTTGCAGGAGACCAGTAAAACTCTATCCAAGCTAACCTTAGTACATTTAAATTCAGTTGGGAAGGATCTGAAAGCATTCAGTTTCTAGTAGAACTGTTAAAAAACTTAAAAAATAGGAAGCATATATAAAGTTACATGCCATCATTCACAGTAACTGATATAGAAGAGCTACGCAGCTCATTTGACATTTAAACACGTATCTTTAAAGATATTTTTACAATTCTGATAAAGCCAACACAGTCAATATAGCTGACACGAGGAACCGTAGAATTTGTGTCTCGCCCTATTAGGCAAGGTAACATTTCAGTTTGAAGATTAATACTGTAATTACACATACATTATGATCACTATGTGTGCATCGTGTTTGTGTGGCGAGGTTTTTGGGAGGGAGGGCTACACAGGTGGGTTGTGTGAGAAGGTGCTGGAAGCTGCCCCTACATCCAACAGAGCCAATGCCAGCTGGCTCAGAGAGACCCAACGCTGGCCAGGACCCAGCCCACCAGCAACGGTGGTAGTGCCTGTGGGATAACATAGTTAAGACGGGGAGAAAAACCCAAAGCAAAGGCAACTTCAGCCAGCAAGAGGAGAGCGAGAATATGAGAGAGACACAACCCTGCAGACATTAAGGTCAGTGGAGAAGGAGGGGCAGGACGTGCTCCAGGCCCTGGAGCAGAGGGTCCCCAGCAGCCCGTGGTGCAGACCATGGTGAGACCGGCTGTGCCTCCGCCGCCACGGAGAGTCATGGGGGAGCACAGACCCACCTGCAGCCCAGGGAGGACCCCACGCCAGAGCAGGGGGATGCCTGAAGGAGGCTGTGACCCTGTGGGAAGCCCAGGCTGCAGCAGTTTGCTGGCAGGACTTGTGACACCACGAGCAACCCAGGCTGGAGCAGGCTGCTCCTAAAGGATGGGAGACCCACGCTGGAGCACTTTGTGAAGAACTGCATCCTCTGGGAAGGACTCACAAAAAGTTCATAGAGAACTGTGCCCCATGGGAGGGCCCCCACACCGGAGTGTGAAGATCCTCCCCTGAGGAGGAAGGAGCGGCAGAGACAACGTGTGATGGACTGACCACAACCCCCATTCCCCGTCCCCCCTGAGCAGCTCACAGGCAGGAGGTAGAGAAAAGCAGGAGTGAAGCTGAGCCCAGAAAGAAGGGAGGGGTGGAGGGAAGGAGCTTTAAAGGTTTGCTTTTTAGTTCTCATTATCCTATAGTGAAAACACGCCACAATAAGATGATCATAACACCTAAACAAAAGCAATACTTCTTATATAAGAAAAATATTATTTCCTATGATTCATCTCACATTACTGTTTTGCTTATTGTCATATACATGTTTACCTAAGAAAGGTATCATCCTAAACATAAAATAAGCTTCTTTTCAAATCAAACATTACTAGGTGAAACTTCTGCCAGCCTTTTCAATCCTGAAAGGTAAGTGCTTATCAATGCAAAATTCTGATACCTCCCAATGACATAGCAGAACCCCAAGAAATGTAAAGCTCCCCCCTGCCCCAGCACAACCCAACATTGCAGCAGGGCCAGACCTCCCCTGTGCTGAGGTTAACATCAACACAAACACCTTCTCTGTCTCACTGAGTCACATTCTTGGCAAACACTCAGGCCTAAAAATTTCACAGGGATGGAGAGTCAAACCTAACTGGGATGTGTTTTATCTTATACAAAATAGGAGAAGTAACTGTTCTGTACTATACCTCACTGCTGACATCCTTCTAGAATGCTAGGTCTGGGCTGAGATGACTACAAGAAGGATGATGTTTATGAACAGAACCTCTTGGAAAGGTTAACTAAGGACGGATGAGAATAACAAATTATCTAAGACAGAAAATTAGTAACCAGTACACTTATCAGTTGTTTTTCATGCACAGTTGGAGCATATCAAGCACCACAGGGCCTTATTTTTTCTAAAGACTCTGCTGTGGCAGTTTTCTTCTTACATATAATTAAGAGAAAATTACACAATAGAAAAGAGTAAGACAGTTGAGAATCTCCTATATTACAATTTATTAACATAATTAAAACAAAAATAAAAAAAAAGATTAAATCCTGCAATTAAAAATACTGAAGACACCTGAAGGCAGCAGGTGATGCTGGAATTCTCCCCAGCACATTCACAAAAGATCTTATCAGAAACAGGGCAATAGCCATCTTGATGTGAAAGATTCTGCAAATAACACTCAAATTCAGTAATGCTGTTGTGAGTTCATATGCTAAAAGATTATTTTGCTTCTGAAAAGGAAATTAAAGCACCCTTTTTGGTTTGTGTGTTTGGAGAGGGAAGGGTGAGCACTTCCACACACACCCCTCAAAGAAATTGTACACAATTTCTAAAAATTTGAAATAGAATTCAAAATTCCTTGGTGAAATAAGTAGTTCCTATATAAGTTAAAAAAAAAAAAACCACCCCAAAACACAGACTTCAGTGAATGTAAATAATGCCTTGATTAATTATGTGATATAGTAATAGAAGATAAAAATCAGCTGGTGCCCAAATTGAGATGCAGATTAAAACTTTATCAAATTCCCTGTTCAGGTTATTTTCTAGAAATTCCCCAGATTTAGGTGGACAACTGCCTGCTTGTTCTGGAAAATCTCTTAAGACATTTAACCAAAAGTGCATACTGTGGGAGAAAATGCCTGTTTTGCTGCAAGCTGGATTTAGGTGACAGTTTACTTCAATTCTCCCAAAGTTGTTGTCTCCTAGAAGTTACCGAGGGTGCTTATCTTGACCATCTTGATCTGAGAAGAGAATAATGGCTGCCCACATTTTGACTGTCATTCCAGCTGTTACAAAATTTGCCCCAGAAGGGGAAATCAGATTCAGGCCCCCTGCCTGCTTGGGCAGGCCTGAACACAGCTACTACATCCTAAAATAACATCCTAGCCTCAGCCTATGGCTAGAAAAACATTCCATTGCATCTTCCTTCTGAAGTCAAGTCACTGAGGAGTACGGAAGTGTAAAACTCATGAAGGCACAAAGAGCAGGAAAAGGGAACTTAACTCTGTGGCCTGCAAAAAGATAGGGAGTTTACGCTGAAAGGCAGACTGCACTAAGATCCTAGTTCCTGATCCCAGAATTGTTTTAGTAAACTCCTGCAAAATGATAGAATCACAGAATGGTTTGGGTGGGAAGGGCCCTTAAAGATCATCTAGTTCCAACCCCCCTGCCATGGGCAGGGACACCTTCCACTAGACCAGGTTGCTCAAAGCCTCATCCAGCCTAGCCCTGAAGACGACCAGGGATGGGGCATCCACAGCGTCTCTGGGCAACCTGTTCAGTGCATCAAGACCTTCACAGTGAAGAATTTTTTCCTGGTATCTAATCTAAAATTACCCTCTTTCAGCTTAAATCCATTACCCCTTGTCCTATCACTACATGCCCTTGCAAAAAGTCTCTCTCCAGCTTTCAAAATATAGGTATGCATTCCAGGGAACCAATCCAGGAAGTCCCCCCTGCCTACCACATGACAGTCAGACTTCCTCTGGTCTCAGGATTTCTGCA